CCAAAAAACGGGGTTACTGGCGGCAGTTTGTAGACGGATTGTCGCGCGAAACGTCTATGAATACGCTTTGGAGTACGGCGCGAAGAATGCGTAACCGGTCTACTAACAACGAAAGCGAGGAATGCTCGGATCAATGGATTCTTAAATTCGCGCGAAAAGTGTGTCCGGATTCCGTGCCGTCGCAGTTGATTCCTCGCGAAACCGCGAATTCGGTAGACGAAATCAGTCAGCCTTTTTCAATGGTGGAACTTTCACTCGCTCTCCTTTCGTGTGGCAATTCTGCCCCGGGATCTGATAGAATCAAGTTCAACTTGCTGAAAAACCTCCCAGACGTCGCTAAGAGGCGCATGTTGAACTTGTACAATCAGTTCTTGGAGCTCAATATTGTTCCCGACGATTGGAGACGAGTAAGGGTGATAGCCATTAAAAAGCCTGATAAATCCGCGTCGGATCACAATTCGTATCGGCCCATCGCGATGCTGTCGTGTATTCGGAAATTGATGGAGAAAATGATCCTTTTTCGCCTCGACAAATGGGTTGAGACGAACCACCTTCTTTCAGATACTCAATTTGGATTCCGTAGGGGTAAGGGAACGAACGACTGTCTCGCGTTGCTTTCCTCGGAAATTCAGTTAGCTTTTGCTAAGAAAGAGCAAATGGCTTCTGTGTTCTTGGATATTAAGGGGGCTTTTGATTCAGTATCCGTTGAAGTTCTTTCAGAGAAACTCCACGCTTGTGGATTGTCTCCATTAATGAATAATTTTTTGTACAATTTGCTGTCAGAAAAACATATGAGCTTTTCTCATGGAAACTCTACAGCTTTTCGATTTAGCTACATGGGTCTCCCCCAAGGCTCATGTTTAAGCCCCCTTTTGTACAATTTCTACGTTAGAGAAATTGACAATTGTCTTAATGACAATTGCACGTTGAGACAACTTGCAGATGACGGCGTAGTGTCTATCACAGGGCCAAAAGAGGTTGACCTGCAAGGACCCTTACAGGATACCTTGGACAATTTGTCTACTTGGGCTATTCAGCTGGGTATCGAATTCTCCACGGAGAAAACTGAGTTGGTCGTTTTTTCTAGGAAGCATAGCCCAGCACAACCGAAGCTTCAACTTTTGGGTAAGCCGATCACTCATTCCATGTCTTTCAAATATCTTGGGGTCTGGTTCGATTCCAAATGCACCTGGAGATCCCACATTGAGTATCTGAGACGAAAATGCCAACAAAGGATCAATTTTCTCCGAACAATTACCGGAACGTGGTGGGGAGCTCATCCACAAGATCTTCTGACGTTGTACCGGACAACGATTTTATCGGTTCTAGAATATGGTAGTTTTTGTTTCCAGTCGGCAGCTAAAACCCACATCATCAAGCTGGAACGGATCCAGTATCGTTGTCTTCGTATCGCGTTAGGATGCATGCACTCGACTCATACTATGAGTCTCGAAGTGCTGGCGGGCATGTTGCCACTATCCGTCCGTTTTTCAGAGTTATCTCTGAGGCTCCTCACCCGTTGCGAAGTAATGAACCCACTGGTGATCAAAAACTTTGAGAAGCTTCTGGAGCTAAATCCTCAAACATGTTTTATGACTTTGTACTACCTTTATTTAACACAGGATGTCAGCCCTTCAAGAAATATTCCCAATCGTGTAGTCTTCTCCGATTTCGGCAATACAGTGAATTTTGATTTATCTATGACGCAGGAAATCCGCGGAATTCCAGAGCATCATCGTCCTATGATTGCTCCGTCATTATACGCTGCAAAGTTTGGCCATGTTGATTCTGCAAGAACGTTTTTCACAGATGGATCTCTAATAGAGGAGTCCGCTGGTTTTGGTGTATTTAATGAATTTCATAGCGCCTCTGGAAAACTTGAAGCTCCTTGTTCTGTGTATGTGGCTGAACTGGCAGCAATTCACTACACTTTAGAAACTATTGCTTCACTTCTTCCAGACCACTACTTTATTTTTACGGATAGTCTCAGTTCTGTCGAGGCTATCCGTTCCATTAGGCCGGTAAAGCACTTCTCGTATTTTCTCTTGAAAATACGAGAACTGCTTAGTACTTTATCCGTGCGCTCTTTCATCATCACCTTCGCGTGGGTCCCTTCGCATTGCTCAATTTTGGGCAATGAGAAGGCGGATTCACTTGCGAAGGTGGGCGCTATGGAAGGCGACATTTATGATCGACAGATCGCCTATAGTGAATTTTTTTCTATTTATCGTCAGCAGTCGCTCGTAAGCTGGCAACATCAATGGAGTGAAGGGAGCTTGGGACGATGGCTACATTCAATTATCCCTAAGGTGTCGAAGTTTGCATGGTTCAAAGGGTTGGACTTGAGTCGAGACTTCATACGCGTGATGTCTCGTCTCATGTCCAATCACTATTGTCTAAACGCTCACTTGTTCCGTGTGGGGTTGGGAGACAGCAATCTCTGTGAATGTGGACAAGGTTACCAGGACGCTGATCACATCCTTTGGTCTTGTGCGGAGTATCGTGGAGTCAGATCACATTTTTATGATTCCCTTCGGGCTCGAGGTAGACAACCTAATGTTCCAGTTCGGGATATTTTGGCTAGACGCGATCTGGAGTTTATGAAACTCATATATGTTTACTTTAAGGATATTAACCTTAGATTGTAAGTTGGATTAACCTTGTGTTTAGTTTGTATTTTGTACGTGTGGGGTTTTTTTTTTCAATGTTTGTTTCCAAGATGAATAGAAATAATTTCATGCTTTAGGATTAATTAAATAGTTGTATCGTAAACCACATTTCAAACCTCCTTCTTCCCTTTTCCCATCCAAAAAATTGTAAATCTCCACTAACCTCGAGACAACCGCGAGTACTCGGTCCAGTTCCTTTAACTTTAAATTTAAGACAGTAATAATGTATAACGCAAAGGATAACTCGGCTCTGTAAAGTTTATTCGATTGAGCCTGTACAAATAAAGTAATTATATATATATAACCCTGGCGATCACGAATCCCTCGCTCGAGTTGGACACGACTACCTCCTGAATGGGGAAGCTCCCCATCGTGCATATCGCCGCCATCCCCGACGCGTCCGTGAACCAATTCCCATTGCCGGTTGGGACGCGGTACGGATCGGAGATGATTGCGACACCCGCTCCCCATTCCGCTGCCGATTGCCGCAGCAGTTGCTGGGCAACCGAACAGTGGTTCAGGTTCAACTGCACTACCTCGAACATGGCTGAGCATTGCTCTTTGCCTTAGCAGCATTGCTCTTGGCCCCCGGGCAGCGTGGGGCACCTGCCATGTGGTTGGTAGGGGTATTCCCCTTCTCCGCGCATATAGTGCACCTCGGCGGCTTTTGGCAACCTCGCGTCTTATGGCCCTCCGAGCCGCACCATCTGCAAAGCTTGCTCCTGTCGGTGTTCTTACAGTCACGAGCCACATGGCCCTGACCGAAGCACCTAAAGCAAGCCGTAACCGGTCGGAGAATACTAACGGGGCAAACCGACCAGCCCACTTGCACGCTCCCTGCGGCTACCGCCTTTCTGGCCTCAGCTGCAGAGAGCCTGACGGTAGCCACTTGGGTGGAAAACAGTACCTTCCTCAAGGTAATCGCTTTTTGCGGTACCTCAACTTGACACACTGTTCCCGGAGCGCCGTGACTATCTCAGTCGCCTCCGTCACTTCGTCCAGGTCCTTGACCTGGATGGTGATAGTCGAGCCTAGCGACTTCACCTGCACCCCAGTACCAACGACCTCCTTTGCCAGTTTCTGGTAGGTTGGTCCCTGGTCTTTAGCACCACGCTTGAGCACCAGGAGCATCTCGCCTGTACGAGTGCGCCTGATGCTCCTCACGTTGCTGCCCATCTCCGCAAAACGCTCGTCCGTTCTCATATTCTTCTTTCCGCGTATTTCGACGCTTCCATCTTGAAGATGAGAGCTTCGCAAGCAAGGACAACTTTAGGAAGGTACAAATCGGTTTTATCATCTCTCGTTACTCGCTTTCTACTCTCTATATACAATTTTCACACTGCCGTACTCTAACGGAACTATCAATTCTATACTTTCATCTCCACATCTATCGTATAAAAATTACCACTTTAGTCTGTTATTTGAAATTATTTACCACTTTAATCTGTTATTACCACTTTAGTCTGTTATTTGAAATTAGCATCTTCAACTATATTGAGAAGGATTTTCGGAGGTAAGTTACAATAAATTTCTCAGAGGAGCCAAAAGAAACTTCTATGGAATCTGAAGATCTTCTGTGGAAAATCAGAAGAATTTTATGAGGGAAGCCAGAAGAAATTTCGGATGTCGGAAGATACTTCCGGAGATGTCGAATTCTACTTGAATAGAGAAGAAGAGCTTGCTATAGAATTTGGATGAACCTTCCAGCCTAAGTCAAATGCAGTACTTAAATATGGAAGAAGCTTCTGAGGAAATCAGAGGAAAATTTCTAGGAAACTAAGAAGAGACTTCTGAAAGAATTCGGATATATCTTCTGGGTCAAAAGAAACTCCCGAGGGTAGTCGTAATAGAAGAAGTCGGAATAAGAATCAAAAAGCTGCCTTTGATTCTTGTTCAGACTTTTTCCATTACGTTCGGATTTGTTTTCTAATAGAAACCAAATATTAGAATTAATCAATTAAGCTGTTACATACTTACATTCGTTGTCCTTACTGATTCACAATGCTACCAACGCAAGACAGGCAGCTCCCACACCTGGACCCTACCTATCGACCCATTAACTAATGGACCCCCGGACCCCAACGGCTTTACTTCCATTCCGAAGGAAGACGTGATCAAATATTTTATGCCTCAGAAAATCCCGACGGTGCTGACTGGGGTGAGAGGCAATCATGCTTATCACTATACCACCGGTGCTACTATTTGTAAATCGTTCAACATAAGTATAAACAAATAAATGCTGATGAGTAATTGTCATGAATTCAACGTTATACTTTTCTGGTCTCTGAATTAGAATATTTCCCGATTTCCGGGAATTCCCCGAAAGAGCCATCAGCAGTTTCCCGTTTTCCTGGAAACGAAACATGGTCGGAAAAAGGAAACTAATTGGAACGCACCATAATAGGAACGAATAGCCATGACTGGTGCACCTACCCTTTACTCCCGTGACAAGCTGTCTAACTTTTTTTTGTCCAAAACATCATCTCATAAGAACGAACTTTAATGTCATCTATCAAGTAATAGAAAGACGGAAGTGAGTTGTTTTTTTGTAAATAACGTTCATCAACCAGAAAAAATCCCATCCACCCCACACAGTGACCTTCTCCGGCTTGTAATCGTCCGCCACACTACTAATTAAACATCACAACAAAATGTCAACGCCGATCCACCGAACCGATATCCTTTCCTATTTTTATTTGCCCATAAATTTCGTCGCGCCATTTCTCTCGCTGCTCTTTCACCCGATGGGCACGAGACTATGGCCCGACGAGGAGTGAGATTCGTTCGCTTCGGGACCACGCGGGGTTTTATGGTACTGGCAGTTAAATTGCCAATCAGTGGCGCTAATGAGCCCATATTTTATTCGCTTTTTGGCTCCGTCGTCATACTTTGAGGAAGGAACCAAACCAAAAAAAAAAAAAATACTAAATATATTTATGCGTGCAGATAGAGCACACTAATAAATATGTCGCTGGTTTCAGTTCCCACTAAGTTCGCCGCAGTTTGCTGTAGTGGACGATTGATTTTTTCCGTCCTTTCACTCTCACCGGTTTCTGTTTTGTTTATGAGCTATGGTTGGAAACCTGTGTACGCCCCGCACTCAAGCGGAATAAGTCAAATTGATTTTTATTATTCCCCTGATCCTAATCACCGTTTTCTTCTTGTTGCTGCGAAACGCTTTTGCTGGTTGCGTGGGGCATTACCAAAACTCCCACAATCAATGGAAATGACCATTTTCTCTCGTTAGCTGGAAATGTTTAAAATATTATTGATATTTCTGGAAAAAATGCCACATTTCTATAATTACCTAACACAAAAATCAATTGGATTTCACTGTCTGTTGGAAATCACACGCAACAAGCGCGCATCCGATGAAGCGGAAAACCAAGGCCGCTGAATTTCGGTTCTACCTCCTGCTCACTTTCCCCAGTCCAGAAAAGCGGAAGGTAGTGGAAAATTACTATTCCCCTCATTGAATTTCGGGTGCGTTTCTTTGCGGACATAATAAGGAGTCACCGGGCTGGGTCGCAGGAAACCAATCATACTCAGCCAGGGCCAGCTGTCCGCTGGTTGATTGCTGCTAACGAGCCTCTCGGAGTAGGGGCCAAAGCGGAAAGTTGATTTCGATCGCTAATGAATAATGAATTTTGATTTTCCAATTTGGAGTGTTCGATTTTTCCTGGAAGAAAACGGAACATAATCAGAAGAAAAGTGACGTGAGGGGTGGAATCGAATAATTATTTAATGCCTCATTTCGGCAAAGTTTTTCCTGTGTTTTGTGAATGGTTTCCGATAAGGACGAGGTTTTATGAATTGGGGAGGATGGCGAAGCAATGAATAAAAATATGGCTGCCACTTTTATTCTGGAGCGCACCCAAGCGAAATTGTCGCAGTTGTAAAATAAATTATCCTGTCAGCCAATCCGGCCGACAACGACGACGACGGACGACAAGTCGGTGCTGGATGATAAAATTCTGTCTGCAGCAATGAAAGCAACAGTAGACCTCAGGGGACATTTGCCAAGTTTGATACGTTGATGTTTTTTTTTTTTCATTTTCCCATGCCTTTTTCTCAGAAGGTATTGAGATTTTAATGTCAGAATTGATGTTTTCGTTTTATTTCCATCAGGTTTATTTTGGATACTAAGGGCTAATTTTCTCTTGGTCTTCCCATTGACAATAAGGCACTTGTCCAAGATGCAATATGAAATAAATACGGTTAAATGACACTTAAAACTTAAGTAAACTGGGGCCTCCCTTAGCTCAGTCGGAAAAGGTGCAGCTACAGAGCAAGACCATACTGTAGGTGGTCGCTCCGTGGTCCGGTCCCGGGAATTTTTAGATTGGAAAATTTCTCAACTTTCCTGAGCATAGAGTATGATTGTACTTGCCACACAATTATACTAATGCAAAAATGGTACAGGCATCGAAAGCTCTCAATTAATAACGGTGGAAGTGCATCTAGAAGACTAAGTTGCAATAAGCAAATACAGTCAAGATTCCTATAGTACGGTTAATAGGGACCGCACTATAGGAACCGGCATTAACGAATACACGTAGCATATGGGATTAGAGCTAGTTGGGACCAAACACTGATTATCGGGCAATTTGAAGAGATAACTTCCTGATGTCTTCTGAGAAGTTGTTAAGCAGAAAGTTGGTCACCTTTTGGGACGATTCAGTTTCCGGTAGGACACAAGTCTGATCCTGTGGAAGATCCGGAATATCCGGTAAAGTGGCTAATTCATGAAACTGATCCTAGAGCTCCGCGGATTTTTCGAAACCACTCATAAACGTCTAATCAGAAAGAATTTGGAGTTGTGACCGGAATATGGGCCCTGGAGACCACGGGATGGTTCACCGGAGGATCCGGAACATCCGTAAAAGTGGTCAATTCACGAAACTGATCCTAGAGCTCCGCGGATTTTTCGAAACCACTCATAAACATCTTATCAGAATGAATTCGAAGTTATAACCGAATAATTGACCCTGGGGACTACGGAATGATCCACTATAATATCCGGAACAACCGTAAAAGTGGTCAATTCATGAAACTGATCCTAGAGCTCCGCGGATTTTTCGAAACCACTTATAAACGTTTTATCAGAATGAATTTGGAATTGTGACCAGAATATGGGCCCTGGGGACTACGGGATGGTTCACCGGAAGATCCGGAACAACCGTAAATGAGGTCAATTCATGAAACTGATCCTAGAGCTCCGTTGATTTTTCGAAACCACTCATAAACGTCTTATCAGAATGAATTCGGAGTTGTGACCGTAATATGGGCCCTGGGGACTACAGGATGGTCCACTAAAAGTTCAGGAATATCCGTAAAAGTGGTCAATTCATGAAACTGATCCTAGAGCTACGCGGTTTTTTTCAAAACCACTCATAGACGTCTTATCGGAATGTATTCGGAGTTGTGTTCGGAATTAAGACTCTGGCGACTACTTGGTGGTCCACCGGATGATCCGGAACATTCGTAAAATAGGTCAATTCATGAAACTGATCCTAGAGCTCCGCGGTTTTTTCTAAACCACTCATAAACGTCTTATCAGAATGTATTCAGAGTTGTGACCGGAATATGGACTCTGGAGACTACAGGATGGTTCAACAGAAGATCCGGAACATCCGTAAAAGTGGCCAATTCATGAAACAGATCCTAGAGTTCCGCGGGTTTTTAGAAACCACTCATAGACACCTTATCAAATGAATTCGGAGTTGTGTTCAGAATATGGACTCTGGAGACTACGAGATGGTCCACCGGCAGATCTGTAACATCCTTAAAAGTGCTAATTTCATGAAACTGATCTTAGGGCTCCACGGTTTTTTAGAAACCACTCATAGACGTCTTATCACAATAAAATCGGAGTTTTGACCAGACATTTTACACTGGGGACCACGGGATAGTTCACTTAAATATCCAGAACATCCGTAAAAGTGGTCAATTCATGAAACTGATCCTAGAGGTCCGTGGTTTTTTAGAAACCACTCAGAGACATCTTATCATAAGTTTCGGAGACGAACCAGCCCAGGGCTGAAAGCCACCTAACTAAAAATTTGAGTTCAGAATATGGACTCTGGAGACTACGGGTTGGCCCATCGGAAGATCCGGAACATCCCTAAAAGTGCTCAATTCATGAAATTGACCCTTGAGCTCCACGATATTTTAAAAAGCACTCATAGACATCTTATCACAATCAAATCGAAGTTTTGACCAGACAGTTTATACTGGGGTAATTAATTAATTGAAAGTGATTAATTCATGAAACTGATCCTAGAGCTACAACGTTTTTTTTTTCAAAACCACTCATAAATTAATATTAATAATAACTCAATAAGACGATGTTTTCAAATGGCTAATTGATTAAATTTTGATGTGATTAATTAAAAATATAAACATTGAAGCTCGTCAAGGAAAGTCAAGGGAAATAAGTTCATGAAATGCAAGGAACAATATTCAAAAATTCCGTTTAAAGTGTCTAGAATTATTAAATACTTAAATACCACCTAGAAATCATCCATGATAATATATAAAAAATGTGTCTATAAGCAGATATAAAAAAACCACAGAGTGCTTAGATCAGTTTTCTTGACCTATTCACTTTAACGGATGTACCGAATATCCCGGAGGAACAACCAATGGCCCCTAAAAAAACAGATTTCTTCGAATATCTTTTCATAAGTTCATTTCTCGTAAAAAACTTGTTTTGGTTACATTTAGAACTTATGATGACGCATATTTTTGCTGAAGCAACCAGGCTGCTATCTTTATTATTATTATTATTATTATTAGAAACTAAAGGGAGATTTTCTTCGAAAAAAATTGTTCTATAAAAATGACAATGTCTCTAAATAGAGCAAACTAATTTTCAAACTTTTGATTTCATTTAAAGATCGTATTTTTTCATTAATGGTGAAAAAATATTTAATTTAAAAAAAAAAAAAAAAATATTATTAAAATATTTAATTTAATTTAAAAAAATCTTTTTTTTTGTCAAAAAATATCCATAACTTTTAAATAAAGGAGTTATTAGTGACTTCTGCAAAAATATGCGTCATAAAAAGTTCTAAAATTATTTAGAACAATGTTTTTGTGGGAGGTTAGGGTGGCCTCTAGAAAATCGGCTTGCTTTATATATTGTTTATACGTTGATCACCAATAAAAATATTAAAAGAAAGATTTTCTAGGGGCCACTCTAACCTACTCGTTTAAAATAACCATAAGTTATGAACCATAAGAGATAAAAATTTGATGCCGTGAGCAAAGTTGGTTCAAATTAATTGTTCTACAACTTTTTTTAAACACGGCATTAGTCTATCTCAAGTAATAAAAAGAGGTTGAATT